GAGTCGTGGGATTCCATTGTGCTTATAGCCACTAATGTTGCCTATATGGACACTAAGTTTGCCTGGCTAATCTCTTAGTCATTTTGGACTTTATTATTTTATTCCTTGGCTTTCTTTAAAGGTTGAGAATTTCACACTGGCAAGTTTTATTGAAATCACTGGGTGAATGACCTTTGTTTCTTAAAAAAAACTTTTATAATGATTTGTATTTTTTGGAATATATAGCAAATGGATGACTATTGTTGGCTTTGGAAGGTTTTAAGTAAATTAAAGACTCATATGGACTTGATTTAAGATTTTGATATTTATTGATAGTATTCTCTCTCCTGAAATAAACCTGCTTATTCTGATAAAAAGACTTTGAAGATTAGACATTAGAGGGCACCAGATGGCTATTTTAAAAGAAACATTTGACTCAGGGAGACAGGAGGTTTTTGAACTACTGAACTTTATTAGCATCAGCTGGTCGGAATAGAAGGACTTGATGCCCCTGTCTTGATGCAGCCAGCAGGGGGCAGCCTTCTCACCACCGCTGAGTCCTTGCTGACATCATTTTTTTGCAGGACATCTCAGGGATAACTTGCTGCAAGGATAACTTGCTGCGGGCGCTGGATGGAGAGCCAGGAAGGCGGGCGAGCAAGCGGGCTATCAGAGGGGGGCAGCAATGGACGGTGCTGCACCGGATGCAAAGCTAGTGGGGCAGGGATGTCAAATGGGAAGCCCCCGCTGCCATGCAAGGTTTTTTTCAAAGCCACATTGCTTAACGCTTGAAGGAATCTCGCTCTGAAAATAAGGGCAGCTTTGGAAAGCAATAAGGTGGGATGTCAGCTTTTCTTTAAAATAAAAAGGCTTGTTTCAAGTTACATTCAAATCCTTGCCCATCAAGCAGACTCCAAAGTTTGCAGCTGCATTTAGTTGCAGGTCTGATGTACTATGGAAATGGGGCTGTGTGCACAGGAAGGTTTGGAGTCCAAACTGGAAAAAAAAAATCCTCTTCTCAGCATTACTCTTTTCACAGCATTGGTGAGCATTTTTTTTTCTTTTTCCCTTTTCAGCATCTTTTACTTTTTTAATATATCTCTTTTTGTAGCTGCATAAATTTTACTTGCATAATATAATCCTCAATAAAATAATTGAAAAAATGAAATCACTTTGCCATTATTTTCTTAAGCTTGCCATGCTCTTAGCATTAAGACACGGTACCTGGTGTATCTATCAGGTTGATTCGATGGCCTTTCCAGTCAAATGTGACAGCAGCAGATTGAATGGTAATGCCACGTTCCCGTTCCTGTGCCATGAAATCTGTTACCGTATCACCATCATCAACATCTGTTTAATAGAAAGAGCACATTTTTAATCAACTAACTTGAGCTCTTGGTAATATAATAAATGCTATAGAATAAACACCTGGTGATCCAACTGATTACTTAATTGGACTGGAAACTTATATTTACAAAACAATGGCATCAGCCTCACCACTGCCTATCTCTTAGACTAGTGCAAAAAATGTAAGGTGATCAGTTGCCCAAGGATAAATAAATACTGAAAACTCATTTTTAATTGCTGAGGGGGTGAGGGGGCTGGGGGGGAATGAAAAGAGAAAAATCAATACAGCTGCAATGTTTGTCAATATCCCATGTTTTAAAAAAACCCAGGGGAAGAAGACAGGGAAAAGAAACAGAAAAGCAGATTAAATTTTAATTGCCACAGGTCATGCTAAATCATAATGCAATTTGCTCAGGTCAGATTCTGGTCTTAGCAAATCTGCAAGAAAGTTTTCATTCATGTCTCATAGATTTCAGAGCCTATGAAGTTTTTGGTGTTGATAGCTGACTCCCCTCGTTAAAGAAAAGTTCACCTCTAAGTTTGTAGGAAGGGGGAGCTGGCAATAAATTTCCTGCAGTTATATCTAGTTCAGGGGTAGGCAACCTTGGCTCTTTTATGACTCATGGACTTCAACTCCCAGAATTTCTGAGCCAAGGTTGCCTACCCCTGAACTAGTTTATCTGAGAAATAGGATTTTGTTGAAAATACTTAAACAGAAAGTTTAAACATGAAGAAAATAAAATAATTTTAACTGATATGAAAAATAATTACTGCACTTAATTTTTTTCTTATCTCTCTCACCACTAACCTCCAAGGATTCTTGTGTAACCAGAATAATACAGCATTCTTTCTGTAGTTGTTGTTTTTCCTGCATCTATGTGGGCCATTATACCTATGTTGCGGATCCTGAAGAAAAAGACAAAGTTTTTTCATTTAGCATCAAGTTATCATTTTTAAATGTAAAATTATTACAATTTTGCACACAATGTACAAAGAAAGCAACAGTTTTCATCACAATCCAAGTGCATCTCATTATTCATAATTCTTACAGAGAAATAAAATAGAGAATAAAATAACAACTAAACCCATTTTAGTTATAATATAGCATGTTGGAACGTTATATCATAAACCATGTAAGAATTTTGGCTGGGATCCAAGAGAAAAGCCTTTTCTGTTGTTTCTCCTCCACTCTCTCCGCTCCCCCGGAATATTCTCCTCCCAGAGGCAAGGTCCACCACTACAATCCTAGCCTTCTAGAACAAACTAAGTAACTGACTTTGCCACTTGGCCTGGGGCCCCAACACAGGCCTGGGGGCTTCAACAGAAGCCTGCTATGTTGGGGGTGACTGACTGGATAGAAAAGAACTGTCCTTCCCAGGCCACCCATCATCATGGTTTTTATCTTGTCTATTTAATCTTTTCTATTCAATTTTTCTATTTTTTTTCTAGCATTTTTTTATCTTTTATATTGTAAGCCACCCAGAGTTGCTGTACCAGCAATTTGGACAGCATACAAATTTAATTAACAAATAAATAATAGATGTATAAGTGAATGATGGAAATAACTTATGTTACGTGAAATATTCTTGACGAAAGCTTCCTCTCTCCCTTCCTTTAAAATGCAAAGTTTATACTTTTTTAAAAAATCAGTAAGATTAAAACCAATATGCAAGGTTTATTTTTTGTAAACAACTTAACTCCAATCCAAGATCTTTAAAGTTAAATGATCTATTTAATGTCAATATTAAAAACCGAAGTGAAAGACTTTATATATATAAACTCTGATGAATGAATGTAGACAACATTTGGATTAAAAATGGAAAAATAAATTAAAATATTTAAAATAATTTTGTTAGTGCCAACTATGACTTGTCCAATTTAAAAAGTGTGAATGATACTTTGTGGAAGACCTTGCAAAGAAGCAGGAAATGGTGAGGAACCTTAATTAACTGTTAATTAAATAAAATCATCAGGCATCTGGTAGAAGGCAAATTCTGCCAAATTTTTCTTTCAAGAAATTTTTGGCTTATACTGTGAATCATTTTGCATTTCACATAAAAACAAAAAAAAATCTAATGTAACTTAAACATTTGTTGCCAAATGAGTTTTCCAGTCTTATAACCAAGGAAGTCTTGCTAGATTTTACATAATATATAAAAAGGCTTATTACTTACTTAGATATTGGTGGAGTTAAAACAGAACGTAAAGATTTTACTTCACCTGTGAAATAGAAAAATTGTTGACATTTACATTTGTAATTATCTTAATAAATAGAAAGCATCAAGTTTACAGTACATGCAGGCTCCAACCAGAGATACTCTGCTATCCTGTTTTTCCATTTCAAAAAATAAACAACACTGCCTATTTCAAAAATGCTAATAATTTAATCTGGAATGTGGGAAAGAATGTCTAAATTCATTTTATCATAAAAGATTACCAGCAATTAGATTTGATAATCCATTTGGCTATTTAGCAAAAACTTCATACTACAAATTCACTGCATACATGACTGGGGCTCACAGAGGATTTATTCCCTATCAACAATGCATGTGTAAATATATTGTGCAGCATGCATTCTGGATAAAAAAAGCATTTTTTACAGGATCATGTTAAATATTTTTAAAATATTTCACAGAATAATCAGGAATTAACCTGAAAAATTAGGAACTAATTAGGAACTTTTTACCTTCTTTTGGTTGCATAATTTCACTGTAACAGAAAGCACTAGACATGCAATACTGAAATGAAGGCAATATTCAAACTGGTACTTCTATTTCTTTATCTTTATAGCAGTTTATTAGAGAGTCAAACGCAATAGATTTAGAATTACCATTTTCAAGAAATTACCTGATGGAAGACTGTAATTTCTTTGAAGATTCAAAAAATCTTTGAAGCATTTTATAGTAATAATTCTTGCTTTTCTGCAATGTGTACACTTTGAAGAAAAAAAATACCCATCAAAATAGTCATTACTTTGAAATCTCTTTTTTAATGTGTTAACAGCATATTGCACGTCACTAAAGAAAATTCTAATTTATTCTACATTATATGGTGGGTCTTTTGAGACACATTAATGCACGCAATACCCCAGTATCATGAACCCTTGTTTTATCCATGCAATATTAATTGCTAATATTGTTCCAATCTTTTTTTTTTCATTTTTCACACGCATACTGAAAAAACACGCCGTATTAACGTACCCCTTGGAGCGAGGGCACGATCATTTTTCTCGTGTAGCGTAGCATGTTCACCGACCAGCCTAATCATGTAAATCGCTGCTACAGAAAAGGCTTAATAGTTTTAGCAGAAAGCACTTAATGCTATGGAAATCGATGCATCAAATAAACCCATACGATAACACTATCACCATTGGTCGTAACCCCCTGAGAACCGAAGGTCCTCCACTCCTTGGAGGCTCCGAGCGCCGAAGACAAAACTGAGCGGGTTTATCCGGAAGCTTTCGGTTTACTCCCCACGTGGAAGGCATCACTTCCTTCGCAGCGGGCCTGCTTCTTTTCTTCCGCTCCCTCCACACGTTCCGGGAAGCATCCAAAGAAAAGCCTGAGCGCAATTGTTTAGTTTTGCTTTTTTCCCCTTCCCCTCAGCCATTCATCTTTTCGTTTCACCGTACACTTCAGACGGTCCGAGGCAGCGGGAGGGAGGGGGAATCGCCAAACATCTGAGCTCCTTCGCTAGTCGGAGGAACGGGCGAAGGTGGAACTGGATATTACCCGGACTTGTTTGACTGTCGCTCTTCCTTTTTTCTTTCTGGCTCGAAAGAAGGGTCTGCTTGGGCTTCGGGCGCCGAGTTACAATGGTGAGTGGATTGACCGACCGTGGACTTTTTGAACGGAATGGGATGAGGGGAGGCTTTCAAGGGACCAGGGAGCTGCCTTGTGGAGGATAAAGAGAAAGAGGAGAAGTCGGTACTCGGAGTCCCCGCTTATTATTCGTCGTTTACAATCGGGCTGGTAGCTCAGACTTCAGTCTAATTATACGCCTTGTTGAGGCTGCAGCTGATCTATATTGATCTCCCAAGGATTTGCATCTGAGTAGGCTTGCATTTTGTATTGGACTGTAGTTCAATGTTACATCAACAAACGTCATTTTTATAGCACGAGTTGCTTACTTGCCGTCTGGCTAATTCAAGAGCAGAAAGAAACTAAGGCGGAACTAGGCAGTCAATGACTTTTCAGCTGTTGATGAACTACCGTTTCCAGCAAAGCCGGCTGCTAGTAATGGGGTATGGTGAAGGATAATGGGAGGTATTCAGTATCATCTAGTACAGCGGTAGGTAACCTCGGCTGAGTCGGGAATTCTGGGAGTTGCAGTCCATGAGTCATAAAAGAGCCGAGGTTGCCTACCCCCTGATCTAGTAGATCGCAGATTCTACATTTCTGACTAGAAATAATCCATTATTTCTTTTTTTGTGTGTATCTCTCCTGGGCTGTGTTTCATATTTGTGCAGAAACTGTATGCTTTTATGAATTAAAGTTTGTGTCATTAATTGCATAAAGCATTACAAAATGGAAAAATATATGAGATATGAGATACAAAACCATACTGTAGTCAGATTTGTTAAGAATCATCAGCCTAATACAGACAGCTGCTATTAATAAACTGATTAACGCTTGCAATAGCATAAAACTTTTTCATGTATGAAGTGAAATTGATAGAAATTGATTTTTTGATAAATTTTTAATCAAATGTTTCTTGCTAGAGTTTCACTTTGAAGTATTGTGGCTGTTTGCTTAAAATGGCTAAAGTGAAAACCGTGAAAATAAAATGGATGGGTGGCTGAGGATATTTTATTTTTAAGTGGCTTTTCTATATTTTTAGATTTGTTACTTAGTGACAGATTCATGTGTAATTACTTGGAGACTAAATATATATGGCAATATGTCAGTTTCAGATAGAAATATGCTGAAATTAACACCACAAAAATAATATTTATGTAAATACAGACACTGAAAAAATGATGGGTATAATTTTAACAGTTTAATTTCTAATTTTTTCTCTAATTTACAGCCACAAAACGAATATATAGAGTTACATCGGAAGCGATATGGCTACCGCTTGGATTACCATGAGAAGAAAAGGAAGAAAGAAGGTCGTGAGGCTCATGAGCGGTCAAAGAAAGCCAAGAAAATGATCGGATTAAAAGCTAAACTGTACCATAAACAGCGCCACGCGGAAAAAATACAAATGAAAAAGACGTGAGACAACTTTTATTATAAACTTAAGGACTTTGATACAATAAATTGTACTGCTGCGATCTAGTCTTATTGAGATGTATGCTGATTATTTTTGTGTATATCCGTTACTCAGACTTTAGATACAGTGACAGTAAAGTTTTCTTGAGGCACTTGTTTTAGGAAAAGTGCTTCATGTTACAGTTGGTGTTAATGTTGCATATTTTGCCTATAAGTAGTATGATTCCCTCTAAGCTTTGGAATCCATTTAAGACCTCTATTACTAAAAATTTTCATTGGGCAGTGTTGCTGATTTAGTGCTAAATTAATTTGGAAACATCTGAAAAGCACCTTTTGTATCTATCCCTCTAGTATTAAGATGCATGAAAAGAGAAATAGCAAGCAGAAGAATGATGACAAGACCCCAGAAGGCGCTGTACCAGCATACCTGCTGGATAGGGAGAGCCAGTCTCGAGCAAAAGTTCTTTCCAACATGATCAAACAAAAACGAAAAGAAAAAGCTGTAAGTCATATAGATGCTTAAGTTAATATAATTTGCAAGGATATTTACTGTTGCTTTAAAATACTGATTTGCAAAGTAATGACTCTAGTATTTATTCAAAATATTGAATGCTTATTCCGATGTTCTGTTCTAAGTAGGATATTAATTTGCATATGTGATGAGGAGTTACTGGATTTGTCCAAAAATCTATATAAGTGTTTTAATTTGCTTAGTACTTTTATATCTCCCACTTTGGAATATAAGTATAGCTTTTTAAAACATCTGATTACTTGTATAAAGCGAAATTAAATTGGTGTACAGGAAATTGCTAGAAAACAAAGAATTGCCCTTAAAACACTTTGCTGGGAAGAAATACTTATATATTTTCTGTATTTTTCCTCTTTGTGGGAAGATACAGCCATTTCTGGCTTTTTCAAAGGTGCAGGGCAATCTTTAATAATAAATTCCTATTGTTCTATTCTCCAGTATAAATGAGAGGAATTTTATGTCCTCCTCTGAGTATTGGAAGATCTCCTCTGCCTGTTGCAAAGCTTATTTTGATATACTTTTCCTGTATACCAATGTTCTTGATAGGAAGAAAAATAAGAGTTGGCTATGTAATCAAACCAGACTTTACAGATTTCCCACACTGATACAATCCAACCGTAGTAGTAGTAATTATAACTCTATCAAAGAAAATAAAAATAAAGTACAAGTTCTAATTCCAAAGTAAAATAGATAAAAAGAAAATACAGTAATAAAATATGTGGTAAATGCAATGAATCAGATAAATACATCACCTTTTCACGATACCCCAATCTGTTCAATATGATTCTTAGCTGGACTATCTAGACTATAAGCTTAGTATTTCTGCTCACAATGTATATCTTACAGCCCAGGAGGAAATAGAACAATCTGTGATTCAAGTCCCACTTAAACATCTAAGCCTGAAAATTGACAAACAAACCATTAGCAATAACCTCAATGTTGGGGCAATGTCTATACAGTTCCTCTGGCTTGTGATGCAGATACAATCATTCTGTTATTGGGTTAGACAAACTAGTATGTTACAGAATTAATGAAGCAATATATTGTATGTGTGCCCATATGTCATTTCCCATCTTTTTCTCCCTAACATTACAAATTACTAATTTTTAGGGGAAATGGGAAGTTCCTGTGCCCAAAGTCCGGGCCCAGGGAGAAACAGAAGTGCTCAAAGTGATTCGCACAGGAAAACGAAAGAAGAAGGCTTGGAAAAGAATGGTTACCAAAGTGTGTTTTGTAGGGGACGGCTTTACCAGAAAACCTCCAAAATACGAGCGCTTCATTCGACCAATGGTAAATATTAGTTGTAGTAGGTTAGTACTTAATTTGCTTTTTCATGTTCAATCTTTAGTAAATGTCATTCCACAAGAGCTTAAAGACCTGGCTCTGCCAATTGGCTTAGACCTCCAGTGGAGGGGTTTTACATTGGGGTGATTGATAGATGAATAATAAATCCCGTCTCCCACCCTGCTTATCTTTCTCCTTCCCTCCCTATCTTTTAGTTAGAGCTGAGTATTTGTATTTTTATAATATTTAATTTATATTGTCTATAAATTTTCTATAGTTTTATCTTTTTAATATTGTAAGCCACCCAAAGTTTCGCTGTGGTAAAATGGGCAGCCAATAAATTTAATAAGCAAATAAACAAAATGAGAAAGACATAGTGGTACATTTAGCGATCATGAAAAAGAGGACAAGCTACCTGGAACTGATCACAATTGTAGTCCACCAACCTAGTGGAAATCGGAGTCATGAACGCTCATAAACAGCTGTTAACTTTTCTGGGTTTAAAACTAAGCCCATTTATGTGGGATTGAGATTAAGAATAAATGCATGTGTTAGTTTGAATTCTCTTTTCTATGGTTACTTGTGAAAAATTTTATTTATTTTGTTGAATAATAGGGTTTGCGATTTAAGAAGGCCCATGTAACACATCCAGAACTTAAAGCCACGTTTTGCCTGCCTATTCTTGGTGTAAAAAAGAATCCTTCTTCTCCTCTCTATACTTCTTTGGGAGTAATCACAAGAGGTACAGTAATCGAGGTGAACGTGAGTGAGCTTGGTCTCGTCACCCAAGGAGGCAAAGTTATCTGGGGTAAGTAACCAAATATTACTTTTAAGTAATAAGAATTGATAGTAATAGTATTTAGGCTTATATACCACCCCATAGTGCTTTACGGCACTTTCTGGGCAATTTACAATGTAAACCTTATTTGCATATTGCCCCCAATAATCTTGGTCCTAATTTTACTGACCTCGTAAGGATGAAAGACTGAGTCAACCTTGAGCTAGTCTGAATTGAACTCCTCGCTGTGGGCAGAGTTAGTTTGCAGTACTGCATTCTAACCATTGTGCCATCAAGGCACCTAATAATGCTAATGAAAGAAGTGTTTAAGCAATTAGATATTATGTGAGAATTGTATGAAATTGCAGGTTTTCAGAATGAAAACTACAGGATGTCTAGTCACCTCTAAATGAGATGGGCGCCACATAAACCTAATAAGTAAATAAGTATTTCTTGCTTAGCAAGATAAAAAAAAATCACAATTTGCTTGGATCTTGATAATCAGATGACTTTTGTCTAAATTTGCCCAGCAGCAGTTCAAGTGTATCTTATGAAAAGAAAAAAAGATCTTATTCATCAATTTCAGCTGTATACCAATGCTTCTTCCCTGCTCCAGTAATACTTTTCTTTGACTCCTAGTCAAAATCCATATGTATTTTTAATGTCTTATGTAGCAATCACTCAGCAGTTAGAGGAAATTATGCAGTTCATTCAAGTTACATTATGCAACTTAATTATAACAAATTTTAATGTTGGTTTGACCAATCTCACAGAAGTAACTTTTCAGTTGGTAAAAATAAAGGCCCGTTAGTCTCTTTTCCCAACTCTTTCCTCTTAAGTAGAGTTTTGACACAATGTATTCAAATGGCAGCTATGGAAGGCTGCTTTTTAAAAAAAATTATACTGCACTAGTAGACTGAATTATTAAGAAACTGCCATTTATAAATATTCATTTTCAGTAAAACTTGTTTTCTTTTCAGGAAAATATGCACAAGTAACCAATAATCCAGAAAATGATGGATGCATTAATGCAGTCCTACTTGTATAGTGACACTGCAGCTATGGGTATGCAAGCTTTTCACACACACAAGTGCTTCTGCAGACTTCAGATAAAAGAATTTATTTCGGAACAGCCATCTCATAAGACAGAGGACTGCTGAAGAGCTGGCTTTTCTCCAAATATTATCAAAAATAAAAAAAATCTTGATTAGAATGGTAAATAGACTTATAAACAGAATATCTGTAGTCCTTCTTTCTTGCACACAGTAACATCCTTTACTATCAGTTTTTCCAGGATTAAGAAAGTAGGTAGTATGGATAAGTAATAGCTGAAACTAACTTTCTGCACCAAATTTCACACATGTGGAACACAAGTCGAAGTATAAGAATGCTCCAACTTGGTGGACATCTAGTAGCATCTTGGTAGTGAGAAAGCATATTCATAGTATATTGCAGGTCATTAGTTCCAGGGGAAATTTTCTAAGTATACAAAATATTCTTAATCTAGGAATGTGTGGGTGACTGAACTGTAATCTTGTTTTATATATATATTAAAACATTTCCTGAAGTGATTTTTTTTCTTTGTATATAGTGAAATGTTAATGAAACTCTTAAGTTAATATGTTTGCTGCTATCAGTGTATAATCAGAACTCCCTCCAAGAGGAAGTGTGGTTAGAAGCTTACCCTTTCCTTTGTAATCTGAGATTAATGTCAATCCTATCTATCCTATTTCCCAAAATTTCAGAATACACAGTGGGTTGATCTATCCAAGATTGAATAGGATATGTAGGATCAAAAGCCTATAATTTTAATATAGATTAGTAGAACAATTATTGAACTCTACCAGTAACGTTACTGAAACCAATCTTAACATTCTTTTTTGTGTGCAGTATGTATAACCACAACATGTTACCTTGTATTAATTTCATATTGTGACCAAGAGACTAGGGTTTGCTTTTCTGATGGTTTATACTAGAAACAGCATTCAAACTTTTTATTCCCAGTGACTATGGGAAGATTTCAGCTGCATATAATATCCCAGTCATTGAAGACTTAGTAAAGTTCCCATTGAACCTAAGGGGATTGGATTTCCCAGCTGCAATGTAAAAATCTTATCACTGGTCCCTTGTTCTATTGGCCTACTATGCCTAGTTAGGTTATATTGAGCCATGGATGTCTGGATAAATGCTCACCCATCCTGACTAAGAAGAAAGGAATTTTTTAAGCTAGTAAGAATTATAAGAAAATTAAAATATGTTAAGTTTAACCAATTAGAAACAATGCACGCCATAAGGGAGAAATATGGTATTACTATAAGACAGAATTATATTAAAATATTTTCTAATTTCTTTAAAAGCATATGCTGCAATGATGATGAAAAATGAATGTTGTGCTGCAACTTAACTACACTGCATTACTAGTTTATGACTAGGATGTGCATAAACAAAAATAAACCACAACATTTCTATTGAGCTAAAAGGTAAACATTTTATTAAATTTATGTAGAAGAGATTCTACATACTTCATGCAATAAGTACAGTAAAACAGTTCATGAAATCATACTTGAAAATGGTAATGTGCATGAAATGTAAAAGACACCTTGACACTGGAAGCAGTAAAACCTGAATAAGAAATGAGGTCCTAGAAAACTATATAATTAAAAACAAAGTTGAGTTCACATGCTACTTTCTTTAAATATTATTTTTAAACTAAAAACAGATGAATGATAATACTGCTTTTCAGTTTTGTTTTGTACAGTATCTTTTACACTTCTGCTATGAACTTTTATCAAGAATTTTGTTCTTTGCAGACCCAATAATTTCATCTATTTAAGCTAAACAATATAATAATCCTTTTGGCTTTACAAATTTGTTCTTAACTAATTTCTCAACATAATTAATTTAAGGTGTTACATCAATAACTGCTGCAGTGTAAAAAAGTTACAAGGTAATAGTTGATAAACACCAATAACATTACTGAAGCAATATTACCTAATTCCAGTGAGGGAAACCCCCCCCAAGCTTTAGTTACATAATACATACAAATATTTGCTATCATAACAAATCAGTATTTAATTTAATTCTTCCAGACTTTGCTACAGGCATTGTACATTTTTATAAACTATGTAGTCCAAGAGAGATTTTTGAATAATTTCAGCTAGTAGATTGCTCTCTGAAGAAAGGAGTTTTTCTTATTTGTGCATACAAGAAAAAATATCCTTCTGGTTTATAGACAAAACAATGAAAATGTTTTCTGGAGTTGACCACAGATATCAAAATTAACTTTTAAGATTTTATAACTAACTATCCTAAAAAGGTTAAGAAACTCAGCTCTCATGTAAGAAGTAACTTTGCAATTAAATGTTACATAGACCAATTTAAATACAGACTGAAAATAAATGTTTTATTAGTTAATGTACAAGTCAAATTTATGATTTGGGAAAAACACTGATTTAAAACACATTTAGTATAGTATTAAATCACCACCAATCCATAATAGAAGCAATAATAGAAATACACACTTAACCACTTCACAAAATATTGTTTTGTTTTACAGAATAAGAATAATCAAGCCCCTTGGGATGTTTATCTAATTCAATACATCTAACGTTCATAACTATGGTTCCTTTCAAAAACTGTAATTTAACTTAGTCCATCTCAAAAACTTCAGCACTAAGTAGCAAAAAAACTGCTCCGATCTTAAATTGTCAAAATGTCTTATTTTACCAAAAAAGGGGAGTACAAGATACAAGCTGTTTCAGATGCTTTATAAGAAAGTGTTTATATTAGAACCAATATTTCTGCACAAATTCTAATACACAATATACAAAATGTACACTGGTAGAAAAATGTGTATCATGCTGAAAATTCAAACAACTTGGCAACTCTTATCAACCTCAAAGCCAAAACTTCTCATGACCTGCTTTAAAAAAAAAACAAAAAAACCTCTGCATCTGTATGTCAAAATGAGTTGTTTTTAAAAAGCAACCAAAAAGCCAGAAGCCAAAACACCAATTCTGAAAAGAGTAAAGTGAACACTTTCACATATTTTCAAGTGAATATTTTTACTAGCATATACTCAAACTCAAGACTGAACATGCCTTAAACCAATGACTGAATCTGTCCAACTGCTAATACTTAGAAAATGATAATGATAAATTCTTATGATGGTCTAATCTACAATTACTCTGAAGGAGTTCACTTTACTATGTATATATTAGGAGTTTTATTCACAGGCAAAATAATCAGAGTACTCCAACATAGATTGAAGATTCAGGTTTAGTTAGGTTCATATAATCTTGGGTTTTTTGAATGTGGGTATATAGTATCCATAGAAAAGTTGAAGGGTATTTTGAACTAAGCACAAAATAATATCAAGTATTCTGTATTTCTGTTTAAAACAGGATTTTAAATTTACTACAAAATAACAGTAACAGGGTTTGAAAAAAACCCCCTATAATTATAAATGCCTATCCCTGCTAAGCTTGAAAAACCATCAAGGTGTGCAATTAACCATTCAGGGATGAAGAAAATGCCTGATACTTCACAAATTATGTTTTTATTGTAACGAGGGCTTACAAATAACTACTTGAGGCAGCTTAACAATACAATTGTTAAAGTGGCATCTGGACCTTCAACATCTCCAAAATAATTGGTTTATAGTTACTGTCTCCATTTTATGTCTTTATGATTATTGTTTAGCAAAAGTAGACATTTACTTCCATACTCAATTCAGTTCCTTTAATGGTTAAACAACAAAATAAGTAACAGACTATTTAAAAAACTGGGAATGACCCCAGTATTTAAATACATGGGTATCCTACCGTGGTATGTAATTTTACGGCTTTTTTCTGTGAAGAAAGAAACAATGAAAATGGCAATCATTCCCATTTAGGTTGACTACAATTCTGTTCAAATTAGTTTTCCTTTTTTCTTAGGTGGGCCTTTGTATCCTTTAGCCTTTCTTCGTAAGGTCCGCCTGTCTACTACGGGCACCTCAATTTCTGCCTCTTCTGAACTGCTGTCAGCAGCTCTCTCAGACACGGGCTCAGCTGACTCTTCATACTGTTCATCCATTTGGTTCTTTTGTCCCTCGGAATGTTGCTGGTAAGAGATGTCCTCCAATTCAACCATCATCAGAGCCCCCTGAGCCAGAGCAATGGGGGCTTCTGGTGAGTCAGATCCACCCTCTTCGCTTTGCTCTTCCAAGGAAGAGGTTGTGTTGGGAGAGACATTTTCAGAAATGGCATCTTCTGGAGCTTCAGCTGCTACCGAGTTTGAAATACCATTATTAGAAGATTCTTTTTCTGCTGCTGAAACAGGATCAGCATTTGCTTTTTTCCTTTGTGTAACATGCTCTTCTTCTATTGCCACCTCAGAATCTGCCAAATTCTCAACCTAAGGAAGAAAGCAGGCACTGCTGTAAGTCAAATATATGTAAAATACTACAAACTCTTAAGAAATGCAATATCATAGATGTTGCTTATAATTCCAAGAGTGCTTCTCTACTTCATTCATTTTCACAATGCTTCTAGGATAGATTTCTATTAGGTATATTACCTTGAAACTAAAATATGTTATCTAAAATGTTCACTTGAAGGCTCAACCAGAGAAAAATCGGGTCAAAAGTAAAGATGATGCAAGTCTGAAGTCTCCATATAAAAACCAGCATGGATGAAGAACCAGAGATGGAATTGTTCAAATGGAATTGTTCAATGTTGGGTAAACGGAAATGTAAACACTTTCATTTGTTAAAGCAGAACATTTCCCAAGTGAACTTACATTCAACATACTGCAACATTTAAAATGAGTACATAAGAAAAACAGATTAAATAACTACAAAAAGAAAAATGAAGACAGACAAGGAAAATAGTGATAAAGATAACTGGGAGATCATACTGCAACCTAAATAAGAACTTAAAATTCAAAATATTGGAAGAACAAAAAAACATCCATTGCCTGGTATTAAAAGCTATTAAATTAGGGGCCAAGTGTAAAATAGTCTGAAAACATTGTTTTAACATTCCCTAACCTTATCTGAAACATTGTCATCACTATCTTCAGTGGATTTTCCTGAAGAATCAAGGATTAACGGTACAAGTAAAGTTAAAGTTGTTTCTTCTGAACTGTCTGGTTGTAACTTTGACTCTCCATCCAGAACTTCATTTGTTGATCCTTCAGTCACTATTGATACCTTGATAGCATTTTCCATTATCTCTCCATTGATTGGCTCTATATCTGTTTCCTTAAAAAAAATATCACATGAACACATCAAAGTGGTGCACCCATATAGAATCATTCAGAAGAATTCAGACACAACAGGACACTCACACTGTAGTACTGAGGACCTCTCTGAATAATTACTTCCTGAATATTTCCACTATATTCAAAATGAGAGGGGTGCCAACAATTTCAGAGATGACTGCAGGTCTGTACCTGAACCCTTTTTGAATGTTAACATTTTTGTAAAGTCTTCTCAACTACTACTTTTTGTATAGGCAGCCAAGACCAATTTTAAATAAAAGCTATCATCATATTTTATTTGTAATAATGGACAGAAAGAGGGTTACCAATCAATCTGGCTTATGCCATGAGTCAAAGAAAGACTATATTCTGTGACTTTTAGGAACATCATCCAGGTAAAAGGGAGTTAACCATAAGCCAGTGTTTCCCAAACTTAACAATTTTAAGGCATGTGGACTTCAACTCCCAGAATTCCACAGCCAGCATTGCTGGCTGTGGAATTCTGGGAGTTGAAGTCCTCATGCCTTAAAATTGTCAAGTTTGGGAAACACTGCCATAAGCTAAAGAAAGAGTACAGTATATGACCTATTTCTCTGCCAGGAAAAATTACCAGTTTCTCCAACAGTCTGTTGACTTGATCCTAAGTATCACTCATTTTAACTGAATCCCTACATTTTTTTCCTCCTAGAGCACTGAAGAAATTAAACAACAAAAACCAAAACATAATTAGTGAAAATAATTAACTTCAAGTAAAAAGACCTGACTAAAGAAAAATGGCTTGGTCCCTTTTCTAAATTTGGAATGGGGGAAATGAACACAACTTCTGATGGAATATATCTTCTGGTTGGACAGCAATCCCAGGCAAGGGCTCTTTCCTGTGTGCCCAACTGACTCAGAAACAGAAAATATTTTTAAGAGGGACTCTCCTGCTGATTGGTGTATCTGTATAGTTACTTGATCTTTAACCACTGTTCAAAAAGGATGTCAACAAAGAAAGATCACACTTGGCAAAACTGAGTATTATTATTTATTTTATTTATATCTTTCAACTTTCTTTGTTGGTCAGTTCTCTCCTTTTCCCCCCTCTCCCTCCATCCTGTATCTTTATACTCCTAGCTGCTAAACTTTATGGCAAGGAATGCCATTTTTTAAAAATGGGGTGTGATCTTATGGAAGACAGCTGTCACAAAGGCAGAATTAAAAAATACTAGTAACAAATAATGGTATTTTTAAAGATATCATCATACCTCTTTATCATCTTGTTTCTCTGATGGAATATACTGCTGGACTGTTTCTTGGACTGATTGTTTTGAATTCTCCACTAGCTTTTTCTGTTCACTGTCCATCAGTTTTTCTTCCATCTCCTCTATCAATTCTTCTGAATGTTCAGATGCATGAATAATAGGATCCAATCTATGCAACAGGAGAAACAACAAAAATACATGTAAAACAACCAATAGCTACTGAGTGATACTGAAACACACATGACTTGATTTTTAGGACTGTATTAAATTATATACATTATTTACAAGCAAAGAACAATGTTGGCACCTTCAGATCTGTTGGGTTATTCAGGCATGCAGGAAAAATACTGGGAACAAATTATTTGGAGGTCAGGTAATCCAAGAATGCTATTTGTAACATGACACTGACAATAACTACCTAGTGTCTTCCCGAAATATCAAAGTCTAATATTTAAACTCTTTTTGTTTCTTCTCAATCTTGAGCTTTTTGTAACATCTTTCCTGGTAAAGAGTTCTGGAGAACTTTAAAACCTGCAAGACTGCTTTTTACTATTTTGATTGAACTTGATAAAAGGTATTGTCCTGCTACTGATGCTAAGTTTAAGGCAATTTTACATTCATTTCCTGAATTTCACAGTTTAACAATAATAAATATATATTATTCAGTGTGAAATGACATATTGTCTTTCTGTACAAATGTGTGCAAAACATATTTAAAGATTTTTCATTTGTAATTTTATTGAATGATATACTGTTACCTGTTTCCCAATGATTGAGAAGAATTTACATCTTCAGTTTCAGAAATTCCAGGTTCTTGAATTCTTTTCCCCAACTTTGGATGTTTCAGATGATTGCTTCGTGATCGAGTAGGAATTGGTAAAGCAGTAAGTTCTGGAGAATGAAAAACCACTTCAAAACTTAACAATGTGTACAAATAATAGCAAGCTGTATGAAAAATTCAAACTAAATAACTGCTTTAGCCATGTGTTACTAATGTCTAGGAGGTATTTTTACCGCAATGTGTAAGCTCTTAAAACATCTGATCTTATCTCTAGGATATCTAAGTGTATTTTTAGCTGGGCCTAATATATCACTATTTCAGTTTAAATAAAATAAATCAGCTTCATTTCTAACACACTGTTGTAAATTTAGTGGAGAATGTCATGCCCAAAATGAAAACCTCCACTGCCATTCTTTCCTGTGGAGTAGTTCTTCAGGAGAAGAGAGAGCAGTCTTGGCATCTGGGCTGGAAAAGTCTCCAGGAGAGCAATTTCATCAGAAAATGGAGAGACTGAATTCAGAAGAGACATGGACATTGGTTTATGTGTCAATTTTGAAGAATTTCAATCTGAGTCTCGAGGCTGTTTGGATCTGGATGGAGTGGAGCAGATTATGATTCAATAGATTCAAAACTGAGCTGATGTGGCTGTTTGGCCCTCAGTGTCAAAACTCAGTTTTGAGTTGACCATCCTTGGTCTTGAATGGGATCCTATTCAAGACTGGTACACAACTTTGGAGTCCTTCCAGATTTACTAAAAAAACAAGTGTCAGCTGTGGCCAGGAAGATTGGTTTGAGTTTTTCCATCCATATACTGAAGCTTTCTGCAATCGTAGTATCAAAATAAAGTGTGTGTGTGTGTGTGTGTGTGTGTGTGTGTGTTTGAGGGAGAGAGAGGGGGGGAGAGGGAGGGGGGAGAGAGTGTCTTTTAGCTAAGATAGCTCCTGTGGAGTTTGGGAGTAGGGAGAAGATAAATGAATATTTTATAAAACAAAATCTCCCAAAATTGAGGGCTCCTATTAATAAGGTTCCTTTTGAAATACCTTCTCTGATCATATGCATTCATGAACAAAATGAATAATAGAAAAAATAGAAGAAATGCATACTGCATTTTTTACCTTCAGAGGTACCTTCATATACATCAAAGCCATCTTTATTTTTATGGACATCAACCTAAAATCAGGAAGACTTACGTTTATAAATCCATAACATAAAACCAAAATTGTTTAAAGTAAATCATTGCTAATAGATTTCTTTCATTCATTCAATTATATATGTTTACTTCATTAAACAAAACATCAATATAAAAATTAAAATAAATGCAGAATTTAAAGATAAAAGATAAAAGAAAAAAAGGGGCTGGAAATTTAACATACATGAGAGATTTGAAGGAGAAATAAAAAATGTTAAAATTATACTCCACCAGAACTCTCATCTGTATAAACCAAGATAATCTTTAAGGAAAACATTGTTAATATAGCTAAATGAGGTTCGATCTTTTTTCCTCTATGGTTTTTTTAGAGTGGTGGGGAGAATTAAAGGCTTTGATCCCATTTTTACTGCTGAAAATTAGAAAAATCACACCTATAAAATTGCAATTTGCTGATGATTTATGACAGTGGAATTTGGACAAATATCACACATTGCTGAAACCGGACTAAAGTCAGGATGTACATGCAGTTGTCTTCTGTCTTTTTCTGCCTGCTTACCACAGCGCTTCACAATCTGAGGCTATCTTTGCAGCCTGTAAACAGAAGCAGCACTAAACATGACTGCTTCAAGCCTAATTCCAAATATATACTTTAATTACACAAGAATATTATAAACTCTGGAGAGTGGGCAAAGCAATGCAAGTTAAATTGGATATTTTAAGAAGTTTCCCATTTTTCCACTTTAATAAAAAACATTACGGATTTTGAAAAGGCAAAAATTAATAAAATCATATGCATACATATAAAACACAGAGCAAATTCTAAATCATTCAAAGGAAGCTATTTTATACCTACACTCAAGTGTGTTTCACTGGGGTCAACTGCTTGTTCATGCGATGGGCTGTTATCTGTGGAACGGTACAGAAGCTGTTCCTCATTCTGGGAAGTGCTAGCTTCTATTTGCAAGGCTTCTTGTTCATAGGGAAAAAAATTAAAAATACAACCATTTCAAAATATTATCTCCTAGTATCTGTTAATAATAAAATTCCTTTCTGCCTATTTCTGTTGGCAGACCACAGCTAACTAAAAGAGCAGGCTCTATTTTGTTTTCCACTAGAGCAGTGGTTCTCAACCTTTTTAATGCCGCGACCCCCAACCGGTCGTAAGTCAAGGACTACTCAACCGGTCGTAAGTCGAGGACTACTCAACTGGTGCAGCACCGTTTGCAGAATGGGACTTTTGGCGGGCTCAGCAGGGCAGAGACAGCCTGGACAATTCCTATTGGCTTTTGAAAGCCAATAGAATTAGACTCCATTCAAGAGAGTCTATTCTATTGGCTTTCAAAAGCCAATAGAATAAAAGGGAATAGCACAGCTAAGGAAAAGGGGGAAAAAATGGTGGACTGCGTTGTTTGGCGACCCCCATGAAATGGTCGTTCGACCCCAAATGGGGTCCTGACCCAGAGGTTGAGAACCACTGCACTAGAGCCAGTATAGAACCCGCATTTGCTCAACTCTAGAAAGGTGCACAATAGTCCTTATAGGCACAGAACTCTGGACCCATTTGGAGGGCCAGAATGGGACAACTCACTGCATCCATTTCGCCATGGTAAAATCGCTAAAGGACAACTCATTGCAAGGCAACTCACCGCGGGTTCCCTTTGCAAGTTGTCTCAGAGTGAGTTGGCCACAGCAGGTTGTCCAATATCTGGAAGCTGGGACTTTTCTTTTTACGGCAGCACAATAATCTTCCATCTATAAATCTACCCTGGTTCCCTTACCCCAAGCAATTTTCCTTCAGTTCCATAACTTGGCTTGCAAGCAAGTTTCTTTGCTGTTCTTAAAAAATAGAAATCTTTCTAGAACCTCAGGAAAACACCCACCGACTAATAAAAATTCTCAGTCTCTATTTTTGTCTAACTGAATTATATGTCAATACCCTCCTACCTTTGAGTTTTAAACTTTCTCTCTGCAAAACGCTAGCTATAGGTGTTCGCTGGTGCCAGTGGCCTATGCCTTCAACTTCCCACAGAAGGTCACGATCCCCTGGATACCTTTCAAAGTACTTCTGGCAAGCTGAGCAAGATAAATAGAACTCATTCAGTAAAACATCTATAACACAGATTTGTTTTTATTTTATTTTACAAGCTTCCCACTCTCTCCCCCCCAAAACATGGCAACACTATTTTTAACATCTGCTTTTAAGGGAGCATTAGAAACATAATTGTGTCACAAACAGAAGCACAAGAGCATCCTGCAGTTTGTAGAGAATAGGTACATACATCTGTCCTCATTGCTTACAACTGCTTTAAAAGCCATAGATGGCCTTTTGACTGCTAAATGTTCACCTTCCATAATATACCAATAAAAGCAGTGCAGAATATAAACAGTTCAATACTTCAGATTTTAAAACCCCAGGGAATCCTTATAAGCTGTTCTTAAAAGACTACAGGCCTTACCTAAAATCTCTTAGATATTTGTTTCTTGTGTGCATAAGGATGGACTTGAGGCTAAAATAAGTAATACCTGTAGTAGCAGGGAATGCAAAGAATGTGTTCTGACAAATGAGATATGCAATATCCATTCAGAATGTCAAACTCTACTCCTAAACTGCAGACTATGAACATTCTGAAGTATGTTCCAGGTCTTACCAGTACGCATGAAAGATGTCAGAGGGAAACGCAAACCAAGGGCATCTTCTGTGAAAGAATCCACAAAATCTTCCAGCATCAGAAGCCCAAAATCTTTACCCTTATGCTTCTTCCTCACAAACATTGTGTCCAGAATAGGAAGCTGGTAGCTCTGAGTAAGAAAGGCACTACATATGCTTCCTGCAAATACAACAGCCAACTCTAATTAGCATTTCAGAAAAGTCATCTTTATATACCTGAGGTATTTTATTTCCATAAAATAAGTTTTCAAATATACATACCAAGGGCTCTGGGCAACAATAATAAAATACATAAAAGCCATAAAAGCTTTAAACTCTAAAAAGACTGATTAAAATATGTTTTTGAACTTTAATAACAATAGTTGGCTCCATAATATTGGCCATGCAATCCATCACCCTGCTGTAAAGTCGATCACATTCTCTTAGATCAGTGGTTCTCAACCTTCCTAATGCTGCGACCCTTTAATACAGTTCCTCATGTTGTGGTGACCCCCAACCATAAAATTATTTTTGTTGCTACTTCGTAACTATAATTTTGCTACTGTTATGAATCGTAATGTAAATATCTGATATGCAGGATGTATTTTCATTGTTACAAATTGAACATAATTAAAGCATAGTGATTAATCACAAAAACAAACTGGGTTTGAAGATAAGCAGTAGGATGGAAAGAAAATTAAGCAATGAAACTGAGAGTTCTTGGATTAGAATTTATTACACCATCACATTAAAAATAAAAGTCTTTCCAATCTTGTTGGAAAAACAATGGATTCACTCCTACTGATAATATTATTTAGATCAGGGCTTTTCAACCTTTTCACCGATTGTACCACTTTTAGAATATGGCAATATTCGAGTACCACAGTCACCTAGCGAGATGTCAAAAACTTGACCAAAAAAAAAATAATGGAAAAAAGTGATAAAGTACAGGTAGTCCTTGACTTACAATAGTTTGCTTAGTGACTGTTCAAAGTTACAACGGCACTGAAAAAAGTGGCTTATGACCATTTTTCACACTTATGACCGTTGCAACATACCCAGGGTCATGTGATTTACATTTCGATGCTTGGCAACTGATTCATATTTATGATGGTCACATTGTTCCAGGATCATGTGATCACCTTTTGCAACCTTCTGACAAGCAAAGTTAGTTGGGAAACTAGATTCACTTAACAACTATGTTACTAATTTAATTTCTCTTTTCCTCTTTCTCTCTCCCTCTGTCTCCCTCTTTCTCTCTCTCCCTCTCTCTCTCTCCCTCTCCCTTTCTCTCCCCTTCTATTTCTCTCTCCCTCTTTCTCTCTCTCCCTTTCTCTCCCTCTTTCTCTCTCTCTCCCTATCTCTCCCTCCCTCTCTCTTTCTCTCCCTCCTCTCCCTTTCTCTCTCTTTCTTTCCCTCTTTCTCTCTCCCTCTCTGTATTTCTCTCCCTCTCTCTTCCTTTCTTTCTCCCTGTCTTTCTCTCCCTCCCTCTCTCCTTTTCTCTCTCTCTTTCTCTCTCCCTCTCTTCCTCCTTCCCTTCCCCCCTCTCTCTCTCCGATTGGGTATCGATTTGGAGGCGCGGAGGGGAGGGGAGCAGCCAAAGGCTGCCCATGTGACTTTGAAGTGGCCACCTTTGGAAGCACCAAGGCTGCTCCAGCCACGCTCGAGCCGGGCAGAGTGGGCAATGGGAGAGGAGTGGGTCGATCACCTTACCAGCAGCCGGGACTCCGGTGCCCCTTCCCGGCTAGCAGAGCCTACAGTATCAGGAGCCCCACAAGGGGGCTAGCCGGCATGAAGAGCCAAACCCTTTCTGCAAGGGAGGGACGCGTTGAGGAAGCCAGCCAATCACGGGACGTAGATTCTGACTGATGGCTGGCCTGAGCCAATGAGGCGCCAGAGAACTGGAAGCCATAGTTGAAGGCTGAAATACCTTCAGCTGTAACTGCTCACATGTGTTTGTATGTGTGTGAGTGCACTGGCCCAGATAAATGTTGCTTTCCAGGTGATAGGCGCTTCTTCAGGGCTCAGCAGATGCACCGGTATCAATGCCGCTTTCCAGGAGATTGATGCTTCTTCAGGGCTCAGGAGAAGCACCAGGATCAGCTCCGGAAGAAGCGCCAATCAGGCAGAAAGGGGAGCTGATCCTGGCGCTTCCCCTGAGCTCTCCCAGCCTCGGAGGAGTGCCAATTAGGCGGAAAGGGGCCGAGCTCTCCCAGCCTCAGAGAAGCACCAATCAGGCAGAAAGGGATGGTGATTCTGGGGCTTCCCCTGAGCTCTCCCGGCCTCGGAGAAGCGCCGATCAGGCGGAAAGGGGCCAAGCTCTCCCGGCCTTGGAGAAGCACCAATCAGGCAGAAAGGGGCGCTGATCCTGGAGCTTCCCCTGAGCCTTGCCAGCGGGACGCGCACCTCTCGGTGTCGTACGGTTTTCAACGTTTCGCTCGAAGCAGGGATGGAAAAAGAGAGAAGAGCCCCGCCCGTCACGAACTGAGAGCAGATGCTTATTGGCGTTGCGGCTCAAGGCATGTGACGAGGGAAAGAATATGATTAACACCGTGCGCACACAGACACACATACACACAGAGCACTTGTCTTCCACCACATTTTATTCGCATCAATCTTTTTTTTTCTTCGTAATATTGGGAGTTGAAAATAGCGACTCTACACAAACGCACACACAAACACGCAGGCGGTCACGCCCCCTCTCCTCATTCAGTTCCTTTCCTTGGCTCGTTCACTGCGCGTTCCTGAGGAGGCGGGGGCAGCTTTGGCATGTCTCGGTTCCTAAGACCATCGGAAATGTTTTCCGATGGTCTTAGGTGACCCCTGTGAAAGCATCGTTCGACCCCCCCAAAGGAGTTGTGACCCACAGGTTGAGAACCGCTGTCTTAGATCATTATAAGGGGATCTTTTGTCCTTTCCACTGATCCTGTTCTGATTATTGTGCATGTAACTCAAGCAAAATCCAAATAATGATTTGTAGGCATATTGAGCAGTCTAATTGCAATAACTGGTTCTTCACATTCTTCAAATTAGAATAAGCTGAAAAGTCAGGATATGCATTATGAAATCATAAAGTCTGTTTTTTTTTTAAAAAAAATCTCCTTTTATACTCAGGAACAAAATCTTCAGTCTTCCCTTAATTTTGCCAAGAATCGTTGTTTTTATCTTCTTATTGCTAACATAGCTACTCCAGACCAGGCATTATCAAACTGATGACTGAATACAGATAACAACCCTAAATGCAGTCAGGGTTGGCAAACTAGGAGCAAACAGTATGTAAGCAATCTACTATGGAATTTGATCCTCACTGCTCTAGCCTGCAAGTAATAAAGGAGCAGGTTAAGCAAAACTGCTCTCCACTAATAGGAATGTACTATTCCAAAAATAGGCAAACCATCCCCTAACCCTATCTAAAAACTCTGCACAAAATTATTCAAGAAGGTCCAAATATCAGCAACCAAAACAAAAGAATCCCTTGCCATCTGCTTTTTAGCCTCCCCCAAGGTTTGGCAAGTCACAGCAGAAGGGAGGGCCATCTGGCCAAATATCAAGTTTCTAAGACATGTCAAGGCCATATAATTTGTTGCAGTTGGCAACTGATTTCCTTGGAAATAAGACAGGGGGGGAAGGGAGGGAACAATCAATAATTACTAATCCACCAAGGTTCTTTAGACATTCATTACATGGCTTTTTAAAAACTATTGCAATTTTAAACCGAACAAAGGAGGATTGTTTTTTGCTTACAGTAAGAAAAAAGAAAGGGAAGTTTGCATTCAGGCCCTCAATTAAAATAGTTTAAAGTCCATTTGAGAATAGCAATAAATGAACAAAGACACTGATGATCTGTCCTATTTGGTAGCAGTCTGTAAAGAGAGGCAAATGAGTCTATAACTTTAAATATGATTTAAGATGTCAAGAATTAGCAAAAGAATTTGGTGACATCAATCTCAAGCAACTGCATTTAAATCTGGGTAAGTAGATTTGAGGAAATAACATTGGCTTAATCTGTAGAAATTTAATTTCCTTCTCTAATTTCCTTTTTTCATTGATTTCCAACTTTGAGTGTCCATATTTGGCATTGACAACTGAAATAAACTTACATTCTCATAATGTGCATAATGCTACTAGCATATCTCAGTTTGAACTAATGTGATTAATAACAGACACAGTATCGAGAAGCTTAACTGAGGCTGCTCTGAAGAACTAGAATGATGAATGGAAGCCCAAAACCTTCCACAAACTTCTGTTGGATTTAATGACAAATACTGTATCAATGCACAGCTGCAGTAAAAGCTTGGGTTGAGACCAATAAGATGAAACTTATCAAGGTATGTGTAAACTTTTTTTTCTGAGCTAAAAAGCTTGAAGGATCACCTCTTTCTATATATTTATTTTGTTATAAAGCTGTTTCCTAGGTTCCTAGAACTATGTGATTTCTATAAAGACAAATTTACAAGTTTAAGCTACCTTCAGTGATAGAAGTCAGTGACAGTAATTAGGTTCATAAGCAGTTTCACCAACAACAATCATCACAAACTTCATCCCTATCACCAGCACCAGCTCCTAAGGAATCGTTCTTTTCTGTATCCTATTGGATAGGTAGAAGTGCTCCTTTCCCATTTCCAAAATAAAAATGCAGTTGTATATAATGGAGTTGTATATACTAGTTCTTTGCAAATGACTTAAAAGATGGACTCGTTTTCTTTTGCTTCGTATTAAATTACTTTTTCCATTTTTAAAAATAGTCTTACCTGGCAGTTTAATAGAATAAAAACCAATAGCCATTCCTTTCTTCCACAGAATTTTTGCATAATCATGGCTACCATGGCAAAGGAATGGGATCTCATTTTTCTCAATTTCTTGTTTACGATAAATTATTCTGTTGAGCACATAAAGAACCACTCTTTCCCCAATTGATTTCACCTAAAAAAAAACACATATTAATTAGAAAACATAGCCAAAGATCTCATATAGTTAAAATCCACATTTATACTTCCAAAAGAATGAAAGCAGAATGGGGCTTTATTTTTGATTATGGTTTAGCTATTAGTTAATTTGCTTACATTTGTAAAACACCTCAAACAATTTAGGACAAAAGTAGATATACATATCTATTTAATAAAATAAAAATGAGGTATGGAAAAAAAAACCTAGGAAGGCAATTCTATATTATGAACTTGATTTAAAATAGCTCAAAAGTGAGAATACAGTGACTATGAAAAAAAAGATATAAATACAATTAATACATTACAGTTTTCTGAAGAGTTTTAAGAACTATAATGTTGGGATAGAATTGCTAATTCTTCAGAGCCCAGAATTCATTCAAATAAAATTATCTGAGTGAATTATCTTGGATTATACAGTACAAGAATAAGAAATCCACAGCTGAACTACAAATCCCAGCAGCCCTAGCCAGCATGACCAATTATGAGAGATGCTAAAAATATAAAACAATTGCACTGATAAATCCTTATCCCAGGCATTGTCCATATTATAAGCACATAAACGGCTCATTACTACAATTCAAAATTCTTGACACAGCTTAACACAAGCAATTCTATTCCAAGTAAATCAGAACTGTACACTTTTATTTGTGCTAAGCTTTAGATTTCATTATCAAACACTTTACTAGAGGTAACAACTTTATTTACCCGTAGAAGTCCTTCTCTAGAAGAAGAAGATGTTCTCAAAATATCATCAATAGTCCACCACTGATCAGCCAGAAACAAGGCAACAGCTCAAAGGGGAAAAGAATATAAAGTAAGAATGTGTTCAGTCTTTCAATTCTAATTATGCCTAGTTATAGAGGTATATATTTCACATTAGTTTTATTCTTAATTATAGCACTAAATGCATGTTCAGTACATGTATTTCTTAGAAAGCAGGGATTGGTTCCGTTTTAAAAGCCGTCACTTCTCATCTGGGTAATCCCATCATAGGTTCATTTTCAAAAGATCTGTGAGTTTTACATGCAGGAGACACCTTCTGAATAGAATGGCAGCCAAAACATTTTGGGTTCCATCTCAACTTCTGAATTAAAGAATTCTAAATTTAAAGAAACTACTTATTTGAATAAATAACTACTTGCTGCTTACTTGAATCAAAGGAAGCCCTAATCAGCTATCAATCCCTAACTAAAATTAGGGAAAGGAATATACACACAGGAAAAATTACAGATCTTTACAGTACTATGATAGCAACAAAATGGCAACAAATGATAGTCTGCTCTTGTAAGAACAATTACAATTAACCTTGGGTTCACAAATGATTTCATGTAAGAGGAGAATCTTCAAGAGAACCCTGAATCTTCAATTCCAGGTTGATTTTCACTGAAATTACCTGTTTAATCAAAGCATGGGAAAATGATTGAATCAAGTCTGGTTGAAATGATTCAATGATTGAATGATTCAATCAATGACTGAATCAAACCCTTCAAACATTATAAAACTGGAAGGAAGAAGCTATTCACACCAAAAGTCTTTTTGCCCACTTTCAATTGCACCCCCATTTTATCATGATTTCTATAGTATTTCTAAACACTTCATATCAAAAGCAACAAATCATACAGGAACCAAAAAAGGAATAATTCAGATCAGAATGCTACAGTGTTACAATTCAAAATATAAGAGAAACCTGCAAGTGAGTCCTCCGGTGCAAATAAAGCAAGAACTTTGTATCTTTCTTCTCCACCATAAAGGGGGATGAAGCCTACGGTTGACAAACAAATTGGAACCTAAGAGGGAGAAAAGAAGTTCAACATTTTTATTTTTATTCATTTGGATCTGTGAACTGTTGACACAGTACATTCTTGAATGAAGAAACACTAAAGACGGAGACTCATGCCCTGGTTATCAAACTAATGCAATTCTCTCTATGTTGAGTTGTTCTTAAAAGGAAGTGGTAGCTGGTACATAATACAGTAGCTTGCTTTTGGACTGGTATTAGTCAAACTAGTAGAATATTACCTACTCTGGCTGCCAGTAGGCTTCTATGCTGAATTCAAGATGCTGGTCATCATATGTATAATCCATTATGAGCCGAGGTGGCGCAGCAGTTAGAGTGCAGTACTGCAGGCCACTTTAGCTGACTGTGTTCAGCAGGTCAGCGGTTCAAATCTCACCGGCTCAAGGTTGACTCAGCCTTCCATCCTTCCGGGGTAGGTAAAATGAGGACCCAGATTGTTGGGGGCAATGTAAATATATATATACATTGCTTACTGGTGTACACCGCTTAGAGAGTGCTTGCACTTAAAAGCGGTATATAAGTCTCATAAATAAATAAATAAATGGCTTAGAACTTTGTTGCCTTTAGGAGCAGCAAAATGCCCACTCTATACAATCTAACGGTCAACTTTACAAATGAGCATGGTTGCAGCCATTTTCCTTCGCATTTGAGATTGCCACATAGAATGGGAGAATGACCGCGGGAACCAAGGTCTTCGGCTGCTCCCAACACTAGAGACTGAGCGTTTCATAAAAAGCCCACCAAATAATCATATTGGGGAACGTAGTTGCTTACATAGCTTTTGTGGGTGGGACATTTAACTTTGTATTGTGGAACTGTTGCTTGTGTATCCAGACTTGGTTTCACTTTTGACGTGTGGATACTTTGTAACTAATAAACATGCTCTTTGAGGAATTTGCAAGCCTCAGAGTTCTGCTTTATTAATCTCTGTCTGTCGGAACCATGACACTAACAGGGAAAGAATGCTCTAGTTACCCACCCTCAAAGGACTGGGGGGGCTGGGAGCCAAGAATGACACTCTAAGCTGTATCTCCTTTTGTGGGGAACAGCTTGCTTGCAGAGATCAGATGCACCCCCATTCTGGTAGCTTTTCACAAAATGGTGAAATCAGTCCATTAAGTGATGAAAATATGCCTAACACTACAATAATTTATTAACAGTATTTATTTCATATTTATTGTAAGCTTCCTCAAGTTGTAAGGATGGGTGGCATACAAATTATTAAATATTGAATACATTGAACTAAATTAATTGAATAAATAAATAAAACAAATCATTCAGACATATAATAGAAACAATACTAAATTCATTGCCCCAACCTTCCATCCTTTAAAGGTTAAGATAAAATGGCAAGAGAACACAGAATAGTAAGCACTGGCCTCTTTTGTTTTGCTGAATCAGTTACTAAGACTCAAGGCTGCAAATTAAAAATAAAAGTCCAGCTGTTAAACTGCTGAAACAGCAATAACAGAAGACAGTGGAATCCTTGATGCGCTCTGAGTGTGATTGTTTGTTTGCAGACATTTCATTACCCAACTAGGTAACTTCAACAGTGCTATAAGATGTATAGTTGCTCCCTATTTATATTCGGTTGCTTGCCCTTCTACTGTTGGTAGAGGTAGTTTCACTACAAGTAGTTCAAGAAACTACTCAGTAGTTTCTTAAATTAGATTAGTAAATTAATTAGAGTAGAGTAAAATTAGACAGACTTAAGATATAGAAGGATCTTGACAGACTTGAACATTGAGCGCTATCTAACAAAATGAAATTTAATGATAAAAAAGTAAGATTCTACATTTAGGCAAGAAAAACCAAATACACAGGTCCAGTATAAGTGGTACCTTGCTCAACAATAGGAACTGTGAGAGGGACCTCGGAGTCCTAGTTGACAATCACTTAAATATGAGCCAGCAGTGTGCTGCAGCTGCCAAAAAAGCCAACACAGTAGTAGGCTGCATTAACAGACGGATAAAATCAAGATCATGTGAAGTATTAATACCTCTTTACAATGCTTGGTAAGGCCACACATGGAATACTGCATCCAGTTTTGGCCACCACGATGTAAAAAAGATGTTGAGACTCTAGAAAGAGTACAGAGAAGAGCAACAAAGATGATTAGGGGACTGGAGGCTAAAACATATAAAGAATGGTTGCTGGAAATAGACGTGTCTAGTTTAATGAAGGATGAGGGTGACATGATAGCCATGTTCCAATATCTCTGGGATTGCCACAAAGAAGAAGGAATCAAGTTATTCTCCAAGGCAGGATAAGAAGCAACAGATGGAAACTAATCAGAGAGAGAAGCAACCTAGAACTAAGGAGAAATTTCCTGACAGTTAGAACAATTAATCAGTGGAACAATTTGCCTCCAGAAGCTGTGAATGCTCCAACACTGGAAGTTTTTAAGAAGAGACTGGACAATCATTTGTCTGAAATGGTATAGCATTTCCTGCCTGAGCAGGGGGTTGGACTAGAAGACCTTCAAGGTCCCTTCCAACTCTATTATTGTTGTTGTTGTTATTATTATTGTTGTTATTATTGTATTGTTTTCCAGTTGATTGTATTGTATTGTTTTCCAGTTGATCCCTGCTTATTAGGGTGTCGGCTGCTGGAGAGGATGTGTTCTAGTCTTTTTATTTCCTTCTTAGTTTTCTTACTGTCACTTTTGAATGGCATGTAAAAATGGTTTAAATCCAACAGTGGCAGTGCAAGCTACTGCATATAAACAGGGAGCAAGAAACATATTCAATAGCACAAATGATTTTATCAGGTGAAGTGATTAAATGTCTGCAAGCAAACAACCAAGCTCAGAGAGCACCAAGGATTTTACAGTTCAGTTCTGTGTTACATATATTCTCTTCTACTGGAGATTATTTGTTGAGTATTTTCTTCCAAGTTTGGATGGTGACTAGCGAGCCTGCAGACAGTGCACATTACCTATCTGACAACATCAATAATCTGGAAGGGAATTTTTTAAAATCATCTAAAATTATACAAACAAAGAATATCTATAAACATTAAAATGAACTAGCAATGATTCCAATCTTACCTTGATATTATCAACAAGAGAGAAATATTCTGGATTTTCTGGATCTCCACATCTAAGTTCAGATAGACAATCCTCTCCAGATCTCTCCAGATCTTCATGATTGTAGTTATCCAGGAGATCCACAGGGAAGTCCATCCCTTTGGGAGAGTTCGCAAACACATGCAGGATTATTGCTGTAGTCATTACATCTTAGGAACCCAAATGGAATTTTTTTAAAATTATATGTACATCAGAGTAGCCTTCCCCAAACTGATAGTCTCCAGATGTCTAGGAACTGCAACACATTAAGCTATTACAGGCTAGGGTTTTGAAACTTAGTTCCAACACATCCTCAAGGTGAGAAATTGGAGAAAACTATTTATAAATTTTAAAAAAAAAACTGCATACCATCCCACTCATTTTTTTTGCATCCACTTAGAACATGTTATCTAACGTATACATGCAGCAGCTCAGAATCCAAGAGGATATACATGTAGTCCTCGGTTTACAAAAGCAATTGGGACTGGAATGGCCATTGCTAAACAACATGATCATAAAGCACATCATGCTAGCATACCACTTAGTGACAGGAATTTCAGCAGTGCTGATTACTATAATTAAGCGAGGATTATGCATGTCATTAAGTGAGGACCTCACATGACCAACATATGACTTCCTACCAGCTTCCCCGTTGACTTTGACTGTGGAAAGCCAGCAGGGAATGTCAGAAATTACAATCATACAACCACGGGGATGCTGTGACAGCCGGAACTCCAAGGACCAGTCGTAAGTCCACTTGTTCAATACTACTGCATGTTTGAACAATCACTGAACAAATGGACATAAGCCGAGGACTACCTATGCCAAGGAAGCAGACAGAATTGTACACTGATGGAGACTAAATAATTAACTTGATCAGTGGCCCCTATGCTTGATCCTACTACTCTGAACCACGTATTCCATCTGTACCATATTAACTCCATTCTTCATTTAACCTACACATGAAATTGGAAAACAATTAAAAAATTCTCAAGTCTTTAATTCTCCTTGCACAAGGAATTAAATCTATCTTTAGACCTTATTCTGTCAGATAGAATAATAATCAGGCAGGAAAAGCATTTACCTCAACCACCCAACCCAATTTTCAACAAGGAGACCAAAATTACCAACTGAAGCCAATACAAAATGCAAACAGAGTTAAAGAAATTATACAAGTAGTTCTCAACTTACAACAGTTCATTTAGTGACTGTTCAAAGTTACAGTGGCACTGAAAAAAGTGATTTACAATCATTTTTTCACACTTACAACCATTGCAGTATCCCCATGATCACATGATCAAAATTCAGCAGCTTTGCAACTGGCTCATATTTATGACAGTTGCAGTGCCCTAGGGTCATGGGATCACCTTTTGCAACCTTCTGACAAGCAAAGTCAATGGGGTAAGCCAGATTTACTTAACAACTATATTACTAACTTAACAACTGTAGTGATTCATTTAACAACTGTGGCAAGAAAGGTCATAAAAAGGGGCAAAATTCACTTGATACATATCTCACTTGAACAATAGAAATTTTGGCCTTGATTGTGATCATAAGTCAAGGACTACCTGTACAAAGTTTCATAATACACTATAATACACTACAACATTTTAATTACTGAACTACATTGTATTTATTCTATATATAAATTTGATTATAATAATCTATATACTTATGGAGGTTGGGGGTGGTATCCATGAGAAATCAAAGTAACACCACCCCTATTTTTAATGCAACCTGCCATCTAGATCAGGGGTGTCAAACTCAATTTAATTGAGGGCCGCATCAGCATTGCAGTTGCCCTCGGGGGGACAGGGCGGCGGCCAGGGTAGGTGCGGCCTACTGGGTGGGCATGACTAGCTCTACATCGTTCGCATCAAGGGTACCTATGGGGGCTCAGCCTCTTGGTGCTATGAGGAGAGCGTCCCACTGCCTACCAAAACCCCTCTCCTAGAACCATCAAGCCGGATATGTGAAGTAGGCCAGGGCCATTTGCTGGCCACTTCCAGGATGGCTTTGCGGGCTGCATGAAACCACTTCACAGGCCACATCCGGCTTGCAGGCCTTGTGTTTGACATGTCTGATCTAGATAATTGCTTAGAATAATTTCCTGAAATTTAATGATTTAACAAAAAATGGGTTAAGGCTCAAATCTGCAAGCAAAGTAATTACATTTTTCTAAATTACAGCAAGAGAAAAATGAGAAAAATGTTACTAAGTCTCTTCATCCTGACACTTATTGTATATGTTACAACAGAATAACAACATTGTTTTACATGAAAAAGCAACATCAATACTCTCTTGCTCTTCATCATTGTTTATTTGAAATACATTATACTATTTTATGTGCTATGTTTTCTTAGAAATAAAATGAAATAACGAAACAAAAAAAATAGAATGTGTAAAAATAGCTACACGACAGTCAGCATCAAACATACAAAAGATAAAAATGCCCCAAAGAATTAAGAAATGGAAGCTAAGGTAGGGTCCTAAATCAGAGTTCTAGAAAGGCCACTATAAGGGAGAAGGCCCACCTGTTAGATTAACTATCTCAGCCTTGGAGCATAGTAGTAACATCACCAGACTTCATCTAGAGCAGGAGTCTTCAAACTTGGCCCTTTTATGACTTGTGGACTTCAACTCCCAGAATTCCTCAGCCTTCTGGAAGCTGAAGACCACAAGTCATAAAAGGGCCAAGTTTGAAGACCCCTGCTCTAGAGATATAAAAGGCTGGGTTCACACATACTAGGAGAGCCTTTCCAGAAAAGAACCAGTTAATCTACTGACAGAAAATGCAATGGGACTTTTTGCCATAACAAAAATAACAAACAAAATGTGCCAGAGATGTTCCAGATAATATGCACCTCATTTCTAAAAAGGTTTCTAAGCTAGGATTAAAGAGAAAATTGGGGACTGGCTGAAGTTATACACACACACATACACAAATGTACACACATATACTTGGCTTTTCTCACAAACATTTTACAGCAGCTAAAGTACAATTCACAAGTAGCTTTTCATCTAGCCATCATATATTTTTAAAGGTATTCTCTATTAATTAAAATTCCCTAAAATAGTTAGCAAATTAAGGAACAAAAATCAATTTAAAGATAAAACATGTTTACGCAAAATGATTAAAACACAAGAAATAAAAAATAGCATTTTAACAAAAAGGGGGGGGGAGCAGAATATCACAGCTGACATTTTTATCGTGATTTTTGACTGCCTCAAAAAAGGGCAATCATTTGTCACTCTATATAAAGCTTTTAGGTAATTCTTATTATTTTAAGAATAGAACAGAAAACAGAATCTAGAACAGTGGTTCTCAACCTTTCTAATGCCACGACCCCATAATACAGTTCCCCATGTTGTGGTGACCCCCAACCACTTATACATCAGTGGGTGCCAGGGGCGTGGCCAAAGAAAAGGGGGAAAAATGGCAGACAGCCTTGTTTGGCGACCCCCGTGAAATGGTCGTTCGACCCCAAATGGGGTCCCGACCCACAGGTTGAGAACCACTGATCTAGAACATGATAGACAGACAGAAGACAGACAAATAGAATTACACTCATTTTCAATTACTGAAACATTCAGGAAGAAGAAACAAGGTAGAAGTTACCCATCTGCATTCCAGGAGCTCAATTTAAAATTCTTCCTCTTTGCTGTTTCTTTCATGGACCACCCCCTCAAAAAAGGCAAAAATATTGAAGGTTTCAGAAAACAAAATTATCTGTTGGATTTACTGCATTGGTTCTTTGTCTACACAAGGGACAGGGCATCCTACAATGGGTATCTCCCTCCTACTAGCCCTGGAGGCAAAACTAGAAAAATCTGCTGTTTTCATACAGTAGAGCCAGGAAATTCTATAGTTAGGACATACCAAAGCTATTCCTGAGGATGGAATCTTACAACCATAAGGCCCCCAATCCCCACTGGGAACTATTTTCTGTAATACTCTCCCTGGTTGAATGGAACCTGCAGCCAAGTTAGGAAAGTTAAGTTTCTATGTTTTATAAAGGAGCCATGGAGGACTAGTTGCTGTCTGCCAAAGCCATTTAAGTGGGGGACAGCTAATGTGGCTGTCCTAGACCTAGTCAAAAGAGCCAGAGATCTTCATGTGGTAGGCTTATTTAGTTTGATGCAAACCCTGATCTATCTGAAGATTATGACTGGTAAGGCTTTGAAGCCTAAGTAGGGATATCAGAAGGCAGAAGCATGGATCCCTGATGAAAAACAACTTCACTTTAGTTATGAAGGTTGGGTCTAACACAGAATGATGGTGACCAGCTGAATGATGCTGAACACTTTCTTTGCTGAGAGTGCCCATAATTTCTGACATACACTTGACATGATTCTGGCTACTAGAAACAGTACTTTCTAAATCAGCTGCTCTAAGACTAACCTGTCTAATGTTTCAAACAAGTCTTAAGTTAGGGTTTGGCATCCTAGCTGAAGACCCCATAACAGATTCCAGTAGATAGTGAATCATCTAATAGGGAGATCATTGCTCAGGAATATCTTGATAGAAGATAACTTCTTTGATTCTCACTACTGAAATCTAGGAGGGGACTGAGACTTGTCTATTGAGGGTGCTTGGTTGGTGTCCCTTGCTGTGGCTTTTTCTATAGTGGTAGAAACTGATGTGAAATTTCTTTTTCTTGGCCCATCTGCAGAAACTCACAGTGTTGAGGGTTTCTTCCTTTTAGTCCATGTGAGTTCTTACTATCTGAAGTGGGAAGTCTTGGGGAAGTTATAATTGTCTGTATGCTTTTGCTATAGCACCCTTGGCTGACAAAATAGTCCCACTCATTCTCCAGACATACATATATTTATAACAATTTGGAATACGGATGGTTTAATTTTCCCTGTCCCTGCAGATCTGATGATTCCAGGATACAAGGACAAGATCTCCTGGATCAACTGAATGCTATTAGACTCAAGTTCAGGCTCTACTTCAGGAACCTGTGGAAAAGCATGTAATAGATCTAGATCAGTTGTGCCAGTTCTCAAGAGTTCTGATGCATGAGATTAATCACATACTCTTGTTATTGGTCGGGAACTTGCTGGTCCTCCAAACATCAATGTAATTTGCTCAAACATACCTGGGGTTGATGTTCCA